CAATGGAATAGAACCCTTTTATTTATAGGGGAAGAGTGACATAGCCACCAAGTAACAAACCCTAAGATGTCTCTAAGTATAGACATTCACCATAATAACACTTTAAGTCATATATAGGCTAAGCCCATAGGTAATAAATTAATGAAATTTTTACCTCTTATAGAAAAGGTTAACACCTTATTTATTTTAAATAAATATCATTTTAAAATATTATATTCTATAGATACCTTTTAATGTTTATAGCAAAATATCTATTTTTGGTTATCTCCTCCCCTTAAGCCACTATATAAGCTATTTTTTATTTTTCTCTCTCCTTTGTCAGATTTTCCTCTCACATAATTACCGTATTTGATGTAAACTTCTCACTCCACGTTCTCTCTCTCTAATTTGATACACTCCATCCTCTTCCTCCATTCCAGAAAACACGAAAAAAAAAGGGTAAAATTCTCATGTTAGCATTTGAGAAAATAATTGCTACTGCATTTGATTGATTTACTCAACTTGGCCTTTTGATTCTGCAAGCTATGGTTTCCAGAAAATAAACTGCTATTGGAATTTCAAACGAAAGAGAAACGCCGCATGCGACAACAACACTAATGGAATCCTTGGTACGATTTTCGGGAGGTGATTACTTCAGCAGCGCTTCATCTTTTCCGGCGAAGACTTTTGGGCTGCCGAGCAATCATCCGATATAGAAATTTTCTCCCGCGTAACAACGGCAACCGAAGGCAACGGTGACGGCGAGACGATATTAGGGTTGTTCTTGAACAAAGACGACGGAGTTTGCAACTGAGCAACTTGAATTTTCTGTTAATATATTTCATTGTATTTCAATGTATCTCTTTGTATTCTATGTATTTCATTGTATTCATTGTCTTTTTTTCATTGTATTTCAATGTATCCCGCTGTATTCTATGTATTTCATTGTATTCACTGTCTCGCTACATTCCATGAATGTATTCATGTAAGCACGTGATTTTTGCCCTATATGAGAAATACTCCCAGGAAATGCAAAATAAAATGATTTTTACTTGGTGTGCAATTTTGAGTATTTTGTGATATTTTTGGATAATTATTTGCATTTGTCTGTGTTTGCTTATTTGTTAAATTAATAAAAAATATAAAAATATGTCGCATTTTGCATGTAGGTTTTCATTCTACAATTGTTAGTAATTAAATTAGTTTTACAAAAATTAAAATTACAAAAAAATAGGCATCTTTTGCATTTTTAGCATTTAATGTCCAAATGAACAATTTTATGCTTAATTATTACTTAATTGTGCGTTAATTGTTATTGGGAGTTAATTTGCGATTTTATAACTTAATTTAGTTCTTAATAATAATTTAAGTATTTTTATAATTTAGTTTTAGAAAATAAAAGAAGAAAAGATAACAAAAATACAAATAAAAATCGGATTGGGCCACTTCTTCAATTTTCAACCCCAGGCCCAAACAATTGTCCACGACCCAGTCCACTTCACACGGGTCGACCCGGTCCGCCCCATTAACCCAATACCCAACCCCTTTCTTCATTTTTTGGTCTAAACACAAAAACAAAACAAAAA